GATACTTTGGCTCACATGACCGGAAGGTCTCCAAGGGGAGAAGTAGCTGAAGGCCTTCCCGGGGATCTCGTCAGGAAGCTGCTTCCCTGTCCCTCCTCTCTGCGTTCCACTCCACTGGGTCTTCCAGACTCCTCACACCCCAGCTCCTTGGCCATTGGCAACATTTTCATAGAACAAGACCCAGTCTCCCCAGCATTAGCATCACTTTCTTTTTCTTCCCTTTTATTCTTGTTGCTGACACTAGCACAGACGTCCCCATTTCCCCCCTTTGCCCGCTTCCCCCCGCCCCCGGCCTGCGCCGCACTGTCGTCTGCGTCTGTGGGTCACGCATCTGTGTTCTTTGGCTCATCCCTTCACCTTCTCCCATCCGGTCCCCTCCTCCCCCCCCCCCGACAGCTGTCAGTCTGTTCCTTGTGCCCATGCCTCGGTTTCTGTTTTGTCCGTCAGTTTATTCTGTTCATTAGATTCCACATGTGAGTGAGACCATCTGTCTTACTCTGACTGGCTTATTTCACTTAGTATCTCATAATCTCCAGGTCCATCCATGCTGCCGCAAAAGGTAAGATTTCCTTCTTTCTTACGGCCATGTGTCTAATTCCACTGTGTAAATGTACCAGAGTTGTTTTATCCACTCATCTCCTCTTGGCACTTGGGCTGTTTCCAGATCTTAGTTATTATAAATAATGCTTCTGTGAACATAGGGGGGCATATATTCTTTCAAATGGGTGTTTCAGGGATATTAGGATATATTCCCAGAAGTGGGGTTGCTGGGTCAAAAGACAGTTCCATTTTTACTTTTTTGAGGATTCTCCATATTGTTTTCCACAGTGGCTATGCCATCTGCATTCCCAGCAACAGTGCACGAGGGTCCCCTTTCTCCACAGCCTCGTCAGCACTTGTTGTTTGTTGATTTATTGATGACAGCCGTTCTGACAGTTCTGAGGTGATATCTTCATTGTGGTTTTAATTAGCATCTCTGTGATGATTAGTGACGTTGGGCGTTTTTCCATATGTCTGTTGGCCATCTGTGTGTCCTCTTGGCAGAAGTGTTCAGGTCCTTCGCCCATTTTTTTAATTGGGTTGTTTGTCTTTTTGGTCTTGAGTTGTATGAGTTCTTTATAGATTTTGGAGATCGCGTCGCTTTCTGGGAAAGAGTTCTGACTATCCCTGTCGGGGTCATCTGCTCACCAACTGTGTGGATCCAAGACAGAAACAGTTTCCAGAAGAAGGGACAGGGGTGGACGAAACAACAGATGCCATAACATAGGTCAGAAAGAATGAGTATTTTTGTGCTTCTCTCTTATCCCAAGAGGAAGTGGGTGCTAAGGATGGTGCGTTATGCGCGTACCAGACAGGTGTGTGGTGGCTCCCTGGGTGCCCCAGGCATTCCCTGGGAGAGTTCTGAGTCCATGAATGTTCACTGTATGTAGACAGTGGAACTCAATGTGTAAGATTGCTGCCTACTGGCCGGTCACCTTATCTGTAATACTTTTTGAAATTGCTATTGAAAAGATAAATTGTGGTTGACTATGAACTCAGTGTATGTTGAAGTTATCTACTGATTAGGAACTATGTGGACATTTAGCTCCTGAAAACACTTAAGTCATTTCTTAAAAGTATGACTAATGTTAGAAAAGCATTGTAGGAAAACAACTTTTATTTCAAAGGCTGTATCAAAAATAGTTAGGCAGATGGGCAGTTGGGGTCGGGGTCAGCATCTTTGGGTTTCGGGTGCTGTGTGGGGTGAGGAAGAGGTAAAAGGGGAGCGAGAGGGGAAGCCCGAGAGAAGGCAGGGGAAGCCGACTGCAGGATGGGGGGGAGAAGCAGGTAGTGGGAGACAGTGTCTGCAGCTGTTCAGTGCTGAACGCCTCCAGTCCTACATAAGCTTTATGCGAATAATCGCTCCTCCAAAATAAACAAACAGAGGGGAAACAGACTCACAGGCACAGACAGCAGACTGGTGGTTGTTGGGGGTGGGGGGAGGTTGGGGGGACGGGTGAAAAAGGTGACGGCATGGAGAAGAGCAGATGGGTATCACAGAACAGTCACGGGACGTAAAGCACAGCCCAGGGGGTGCAGTCAATAATAACGTCCTACCTGTGTATGGTGCCGGGGGGTCCTGACAGACCAGGGGGACCCCTTTGTAAAGTATATGGTTGTCTAACTGCTATGTTAGACACCTGATACTAATACAAAATAATATTAAATGTAAACCGTAATTGGAAAACAGCAAGTGCTGGCGAGGATGTGGACAAAGGAGAGCCCTTGTGCGCCGTTGGTGGGAATGCAGACGGTGCAGCCGCTGTGGGAGGCAGTGTGGGGGCACCGCAAAAATCAAAAATGGACCTGCCTGACGGCCCAGTGATCCCACCTCTGGGAGTATACCCGAGGGAACCCAACACATGAATTCGAAAGAACATAAGCACCCCTGTGTTTATTGCAGTGTTATTTACAGTCGCCAAGATATGGAAGCAGCCCAAGTGACCCTAAATAGATGAGTGTATAAAACAACTATGGGACATTTACACAATGGAATACTGTTTTACCATAAAAAAGAAGAAAATTTTACCCTTTTCAATAGTATGGGTGGACCTGGAGAACATCAAGCTAGTGAAATAAGCCAGGCAGAGAAAGACAGACACTATATGATTTCACTCATATGTGGAATCTAAGGAACAGACCAAACTAACAAGGAAAATGGGGACAGATTCACAGATAGAGAGAGACCAGGCTGACAGCTGGTGGGAGTGGGTAGGCTGGGGGTGGAGGGACTGAGCAAAAAGGAAAAAGGACTCACGGACATGGACAGCAGTGTGGGGATTGTGGGGGGAGGGGGGTATAGGGGACTAAATGGTAATAGGAAAAAGTACAGTAAAGATAAAAAAACTTTTAGAAAAATAAAGTGTAAAATTCTTTAGAAAGAAAGAAAAAATAAATTGCTCCTTTAGACTGAGTGGTCAGTAATTTTTTGTTGACATTATGCTCATTTGAGGATGTGCTTTTTAAATCTTTTTGTTCTTCAACATTATTCTCATTTCTAATTTTTAAGAAGCATCTCTGGATAAAAGTCTTAGATCAGCATTTTAAAGAAACCTACTATGTTTATATACATTTTTTCTTTAAGTAAATGTGCAGTAACATTTAAAAGTGTAAGAGTTTCGTTTTTTTTGTTTTTGACATTCTGTTTCACCAAGTTGTAAATTTGGTAAACAAGAGGCTTTGGTATCCTTCCTGTATTTGGGGATTAGTTGGAATTAGCTGGATTAAAAAAAAAAAAAATTCCTAACTGGAATTCTTAAGAAACAACAAGAAAACATCCGGCTCTGGATGCTTGGGGTCCTGCGGGCGTGTCCTGGCTCAGCAACCCACCTCACCTGCCTCCCCCCTCGCACACGGGGCCGAGGTTGGTGTGACGTGTTTCTACAAAGTATTCCACAACATGACGAATGGAATTCTGTCTCCTTTCACCTCAGCCGAGTGTCGTGTTCTTTGAAAGACCTCAGGAAAAGTAATGCCTGCAGAATTGTCTGCCTGCTCTCCCCTCCCCCCCACCTCTCTCTAGAGGCGGAAGTAAGGGATCCGGTGCTGTTTCTTGACCGACAGACTGTACACTACCATTTCCAGCATTTTATTATGGAAACTCTCAAACATGTTGAAAAATTTAAGTCATTTTTCATTGAACACACCATAAACCCAGTGTCCAGATTCTATAAATAGTGTTTACTATCCCTCCTTTATCTCATATTTGTCCATCAACCCATCTTATTATTTTTGATGCATTCCAGAATAAATTCGTAGTTGGGGTTTTCCCTTATCTTTAATGGGGGCGGGGGTGGATCCTGTGTCTCTGTGAGAAGGGTTCCAGGCGTCGGTGAGCAGGTGTGAGACGCGCGGCCACCGAGGGCCGCACGGGTCTCACGGTGGTGCGGTGGAGGGTGCAGAGGAAATGCTCGTGGAGTGAAGGCAGCTCTGTCCGTTCTGTCCATTTTACTTAACTACCCTGGGGGGGACTTCGGTTGGCCTCTTAGGACAAACAGTTACTTTAAAAATAAACCATATGTTTCTAGGGACAGATGAGCCCCGATTTAGAAGATGGACTCCCTTGTAAGATAGTCCATGAAAGACATTTATTTATATAGCGTTTGAAATGGTTAAGAAAGATAGAGGAATCACGTATCACAGAAGCATATAGGAACTGCATTTTTCACAACAATGACTCTCTCCTGGAAGACACGTGTGGCAGGGGTCCAGGGCAATCCACATGTGTGCGTTGGTGCCTCAAGGGTCCTTCCTCTTAGGGCGGAGGCTGGAAGAGCAACCCCACACCAACCAGAAAGGCTTCCCTTCAGTCTGCTGTCTGTGAAATCAAGCTTTACATTTCTGGGAGAAGTTTGAAAGTCGCAGCTGTTCAGGTTACCTGACCTGTCTGCGCAGCCCTGCAGACCACTGTATGGTGGGTCGCACTGGAGGAGCGTCTAAACGTATCCTGCATTCCGGGTTTACCTGGCTAAGGATAATGCTTTATGAGAATTCGTCCCAGTGGCTCTAGATAAGGAATAGTGGGAGTTCTAATGCCAAGGGGATAATCCAAAGGCGTGCGACTCTAAGACATGCGTATGTGTCTGTATGTGCACAGGCCTGTCTCCTTGCTCCCCAGGGGGAGTGCTCCCGGCAGGAACAGGTCTGCTCTCCCCTTCTCACCTGGTGCAGTGGAGGGGCTCGCCTCCTCCCCCGTGAAGAACGGGGGCCGATATCTCCCAGTGCAGTGTGGGGCTGCCAAGTTGCGTTTCCCAAACAGAACAGGGGCTGTCGCCTGGGGTGTGGCCTGCCTCCTCGGTGGGCTGGCGGTTCATTTCGGTGACATGCCTGCCTTCCGTCCGCGTGGCCACGGCCGCTGTCATGCGGTGTCCACACCAGCATGTTTACAAGGTGGACTTCGGGCGGTTCGTGTTTGTTCTAGGTTTGCATTTGTAACATCTTTTTCTCTCCACTCCCAACAGGCACGGGTTATGTATGATTTTGCTGCTGAACCTGGAAATAATGAACTGACGGTTAATGAAGGAGAAATCATCACAATCACAAATCCGGTAAGAGAGCTGTCGCTTTTAAAGCAGGTGGTCTCTTTAGGACTTATTTTTTAAGGTTCTGTTTTTTTTTAACGAGTTGATCACTCAAACCCACGTTGAGTTTTTCTCCTATTGCCTACGAAGTATTGGTGGTGAAGCAGGAATACGTACTTACAAATACTGAGAAAAGTGAAGCCCCCTAAAGATAGCTGGGTGGGGTTCTGTCAGACAAATGGAAAGAGAGACACCCCAGCCAGACCAAAGGTGCGGAGGTCAGGAAGTATTCAGCGTTTCTTACAAGCCTCGGCTGCCATCTCTGACAGCCTATGCCAGGTGTTTGGCTGAGTGCTATGCATGTTCTCTCTAATGTATTTCCCCCTGAACTCTGTGAGGTCTGCATTTTTAATCTCTTTTTACAAGTGAGGGTACTGAGACTTAGAGAAGTTAAGTAACTTGCCCAAAAATCATTCTCATATGTGGCAACACAAGGGTTCAAGGCCACGTCTGTCTGGCCTGTGAGCTCCAGCTGCTTCTCCTCTCCCGGGGAGCTCTACACGCAATCCAGTGTCCCAGGCGCATGGGGGCGCAGGCTGGTGGCCTGAGAAAACGGCTCTTCGAGCCGACTCCCACGGGACCTGTGCACCGGGCCCTACGTCAACTTCAGACTTCTCTGGTTGAGTGGTGGATTCGTTTAAGGGTTTGCTTGGCTTTTGTGGTGGTGGTGGTGTGGCAAGGTGGCAGAAGGAGACCTGCGTTTCAAAAACATCAACCTAGTAGAGCTGTGCCGCATGAAGGGGAGTCGGGGACAGGGCTGCGGGTCGCAGCAATGGGAGTGGGAAGAATCGGGTGCAGGAGGCTTTGGAGGGTCAGACCCAGAGGCCGTGGGCCTGGTCAGATGCTACGGGCAAGGAAAGGGGCGGCGGGGGGGGGGGGGGGCGCCTGAGGTGGGGACTTAGCGACGTAGGTAAGGCAGGAAGAAAGAGCAAATGAGGCTACTTTTAGAATATGTTGAGTTTAAAGAATAGTAAGTAATCAACCCTGGCCTGTAGCTCTGCATCCGATTAAAAATGGACACGCGGAGCTGGAGGCGAGGGCTGGAGGCTGGCGGCCGCCTGGGCGCCTCTGCCCGGCGGGCGTGTGGGCGGAGAGGGGCCGGGGTGGGGGAGTGGGGGGCCTCTGGGGGGCGGGGGGCCCAGGGGGCAGTGGTTTCTCAGTACTGACAGTATTTCTAAAACTTGTTTTATGTGTAGATGCAAAGAAGAATTGCTGGGTAGAAGAAGTATATGTAGTTTTATAAAATATACTATATTTGTATATAAGTAAATGGGTTCTATTTTTAATCATAGGAGAAATTTAGATTCTTTTATCTAATTGTTTTAAATGAAGTATTCTTCATATCTTAAAAATAGTTTTGTCTTTAAATGGCTGTTGTCAAAAATGGACAGAGTTGCAGCTTAAAGTGATTTCTTTGAGAGAATATTTTTATCTAGATTCAAGTAATAACTAATTAGGGCACAGTTTATGAATTTAACTCTTACTAGTTTAAGGGGGAAGAGTGGGACTTTGCTGAGATAGTGCAGGGTCTGGCAGAAGGAAGGCCTGCTTGGGTGTGGTGGGTAGGGTAGTAATATGGGTGTAATAGTTTATAGTTCTAATTGGAGCATTTCACCTAAAATGTTATATGGGGTGCTTGAGTCTGCTATTGTTATGTTACAGAATTACATGTTTATGATTTTGTAATTAAAAAGGGGTGTTATTTGTGCTAGACATTGTACATTGAAAAGTGGGCATCCTGGTATAGACTCGTTTATTATTTAGTTTACTAACATTGCTTATTCGGAAGAGCTGAGGAACCATGGATCAGTTACTTAGCATTTCCTAAATATCAAGCAGTCGTAAAGCTTAGTGACTTAAACAGCCATTTGTTGTTGATGGGGCACCTACAAGTCAGCTGGGCGGTCCTCTGGACCTGGGCTCATTCAGGAGCCTGCAGTCACCTGGCACTGGGCCGGGCGCCTTACTCACCTGCCCAGACGTGCTCCTGCGGGGGGTTGGGGGGCTTCGAGTGGGACGATGGGCAGATGGGGCCCTGTCTCCAAGGTCGTCCAGCAACCCAGTGTGTTCACGCAGCAGTGCTTCTGCGGGTGCAGGGGAGCCGCCTGAGGTGTGCAGAGCCCCTCGGGGCCGGAGCCGGGCTCAGCCCACCGTTTCCCCCTTGTTCCGCTGGCCCAGGTGGCCGCAAAGGGCAGCGCAGACTTTCGGGATGGGGTGTGCGTTCTCCTCTGTGACCCGCAGAGCTGCGAGTCAATTTGTGACCTCCCACAGACTGGTAAGCGGGGAGCGATCGCAGAGCAGCGGCAGCCTGCAAGTGGGCTGTTTCACAGTCTCTGCTCACTTACTGTTGAAGTTTGATATTTCTCATTTTTAGACAATATCATTCTCTGGAGTAAAGAGAAGACTTAAAAATTTTAAATTTTGAACTTAGTTCTGTAGGAATAGAAAGCTTAATGTTAATTGTTTTTTATGTATAACTATTCCCAAAGCAAAGTTTCTGCAGGAAGTTCCAACTGCAGTCTTCTTTTTCTTCCTTTTTAAAAAAAAATTTTTTCTCAGGACGTTGGTGGAGGATGGCTGGAAGGAAGAAACAGCAAAGGAGAGCGAGGCCTTGTTCCCACGGACTATGTCGAAGTAAGAACTTACTGTCATTTACTGTTAAACCTGGTCTTTGTCGAACATCTTTTTATGAATTATCAATTTAAATAACATACTAGAAGATAGCAGCTTTATTTTTAATTAAAGTTTTTTCTTTGTAAAAGTAGCACATGCTAATTATGTAAAATGTGGATAATACATTGAAGTAGAACTAAGAAAAATTATTTATAAATTTATTGTTATTTTTATTAATATTTATAAATATTATTTAAAAATTATAAATTGTAAATTTATTTATAATAATTATAAATGTTATTTATAGACCAAAGATCCAAAGAGTGACTCCAAATATTTAGGTTAAATTCTTTCCAAGGATAGCAATGTTTAATTATTTTGAATACGTCTCTATTTTTCATTTGCTTATATTGTGCGGTAGCTGCTCTCTACAATACCGTTTGTTGTAGAATTGACTCAGAAAATTTAAACCATTTTTTGAAGTAGCTTGCTTCTCCCTGTGCTAATTTAGGACATGCCCCTTAGTGCCTTCTCCCATCCCTGTATGCAGAGAGTGTTAAAGGAGTGGCTGTGAACCACTGCCTGGTTTCAGTTCTATTATGACAGATGCCAAGGCCAGGGTTTCAACTCCCCAATGAATGAGGCTCCCTGCCTGGGTCACACCCACTCACCTGGCAAACCCGCGTCAGTCAGTCAACCTCCTGGCGCCCCCTGCTGGTTGCGTGGAGGTCCGCTCACCTGCTGGAGGTGCGCTTGCCTCATCTCCTATGAGTAGAAACGAGGGTTGCCTGGCGCCCTGTGGTCAAATCCGAGTGAGAGCCAGAGCAAAGGTTCCTGCGGTCCCCCTCCAGCAGAGGGACAGCCGTGGGAAGGTGGTCGCTGGTGCCGCCTGCAGAACTCGCTCCTGACTGAGAGTTCGGGTGGGAGGTGTTGAGCCCTTTGGAGAGGCTGGTGAAATAAATCTGTAGCCCTCCTCAGAAATGTGCGTGTTTACACACACCCTGACCTTCTGACCTTCTCACCACCCCCTCCCGGTTTCAGAGGGCGTGTGGGCCCTGACCTCTGTCCACATGTCTCAGGGTTATGTCATGTCTCAGCTCTGTGTGGTGTGCATTCAGGATTCTAAAGATGGACAAGAATGAGGAAACTCTGAGGATTTAAGTAGATACTGGCATTAATTACCTTTTATAGAATTCTGCGTACTTACATAAAGGAGTAGTTATAGGTGTTCCTGGCTTGCTTGCCTGTTAAGAACATCAGCCCTTTTCTCATAATAGATGACAGTCCTTGCCGTCAGGGACTCTAGCTCTGGAATAACTCTAGTCTGTGAAAGTAATTGTGCTTTCTCTCTAACGTTCAGATTTTACCCAGTGACGGGAAAGATCCATTTTCTTGTGGCAATTCAGTGGCCGACCAAGCCTTCCTTGACTCCCTCTCAACGAGCACAGCTCACACCAATTCATCAGCTGCCAACAGTAACAACCAGGTAGGTTTTTCTCACCCTACAGGGTGCGGCTGACTTTCTGGAGAGCAGAGTGCATTTGTAAACGCTTGTGATTCACTGTAGCTGTTAGACGTTTGTGTGGCATTTCTGTTGGGTATTAACAAAGAACTTGCTTGCTGAACCTGCTAAAGACTGTTTGTTTATAAAGTTGACCATAAGAGAAAAGGCAGGGTGTTCATCAGAAGTCACTTTTAAAAGTCTGGCAGGACCCGAACACAGACCCCGTGATTACAAACGTCCCTCCAAGTGAGGGCGTGGAGGGACAGGGAGGGTCCTGCGCTGAGGCAGGCAGTGCCGGACTCTGACTGGGGCCAGAGGGGCTTGTCAGACCTTGGCCCAAACGGACGCGCACTCTTGGCTGGAGCACCCTTGACTGGCAGGTACAACACAAGTAAAAGTGACCGCAAATCCAGCCCTCAGCGCTTGGCACTGTTACTGTATTGCTTCTAAAAAAACTTAGAAGAGTGGGACAATATGAGAAAATTACACTGAAATGTTACATCAATTTTAAAGAAAATATGATCAGTTTAGGTGATGCTGCCTCATTCAGTTATTGCTAATTGATTACCTACTACGAGTGACAACAAGAAAGCTGAGAGGATGACTGTCAGAACATTATTGGTGCCTATGTCTTTATGGTGAATGGACTTTAAGAAATGTTATCTCTTGATATTTTTTTTCAACTATTTAGGTTGCGTGTGCCTCTGTCACCTCATCAGTAACACCTCATAGAATTGTTGGAAAGAGTAAATGAAAAGTAGTTCTCAAGTATTCACATCAGTACTTAGTACTTCTTGGAGGGCTTTCATCCAAGGGGCGTTCCTTGCGGTCACCTTATACACCGCTGCCTCTGTCCCGAGACAGCCAGGGCCTCCCACGTGGCCCCCGGCGCGGGCCGTGCAGAGGGGGAGCGTGGAGGGGCAGCCCCGGTCCTGCCCGCCAGGACGCTCAAGCAGACACTGAACAGTGAGTGGGAGGAAACTAAGAATTCATCTGAATCGGAGGTGGAACTAGGTTTTCCGACCTCAGTTACTTTGCTGTGATTCCTCAGCGCCTCCCCGTCCTTGCCATACCCTTACTTACGTATTAGGCTCGAGCCAACCTGGCCATTCTGCAGATGCGCCTCACACTGCCCACCATTTCTCTGCCTTTGCTCTCCTCCGAGGGTGACGGAATGACCCTTCCATCTTCCAGAAGCCTGCCCGCCCCCAAGGCTCGGCTCCAGTAGAATGTCCTCTAGAAGTCTTTGTGTTTTTGCTTCTCCCCTTTGCTTCCTCTTGACTCTTTCAGCACTATTTGTGACTCTTATAAATTATATTCCTGACTTGTAAGCTTGGTGACAGGCAGGGCTTTGGGGGCTTTATATTTTTTCTGTTTTTGTAACCTGTTGAGGGTTTGCATCGTAACAGAGGCTCTACGAATGTTGGAGTAATTTTTTTGTTCAGTCATAAGTATATCAGAAAGCACTTACAGTGGGACATGCTTTGAGTCTGGCCGACTGCCCCCCGTATCCCTGTCTGCAGAAGGCCGCGTTCTCGGCGCGGGCTGTAGGCCCAGGGGCCGCCGCTGGCCCATCATCCTCCCTTCTGCTGGGCCACCAATCAAAAACAGGTAGTTCCTCCAAAAGACCCTCTGGGGTCGTTACTGTTTTTAACAGTGTCGATAGTAAACAGATGCTCTAAGTTAAGTGGGTATTTAGGAATGTAACATCTTTTTTAACATCTTTTTAATGTGCAGAGATTTTCAATGCAATATTTGACATGAAGGAATTTGTATTGGTTAAGAGATGAGTAAGGCATTAATAGTTCTTCTGTGTTAGAACTATATTTTTCTTATTTCTCAAAAAAAATCAATTTTAGGCCATATTAAGGCCATTTTGTAGTCCATGTTAAAATAAATCAGTAAAGAAACCTTAACAAAAGTATTAAGATTATTTCATTATCTCAAATAAGGTCTGTAATGCCATTTGACCTCTCATAATTGCTCATTGAGACTTCCTCTTACAAAACCCTTATTGAAAAGGTTCTCTCTGTCCTGCTCTTACCCCAGTGAATCCCTCTAGTGTTAAGTCAGAGGGCTTTGTAAGGGAGGCTGTGTACCTCTATTGTAGGTTTTGTTGCCAGTTTTTCTTCCAAACTGCCCCAGACTGGTAGTGCTGGCGGGTGTGCTCCGTTGCTCTCAAGCCCTGGCCGTACAGGAGACAGCTCTGTGCACCTTGAGACACTTTCAAAGTACACGTGGCAAACCTTATTGTTTAGGCTGGTTTTGGTGTTTTCGTTTGTTTCTGTCTAACAGGAAACATTAACAAAAACAAAAGGTTTGTTTTGGTTCTTACCTTAAAAGAGCTGTGCTAAAGGGCTAGTCAGCATGGCTGTGTGCACAGCCCCTCGTCAGGAGACGGCCCGTAGACGTCCATGTTTCACTAGACCAGCTACCTGGAAGCAGATGATCTCTTGCTGTTTGTAGCATCGTCCTGTTTGGCGCATAAAGATACCCGCTTTAAAACTTTGTGCTAATAAAATAAGTAAACTTTCTAGGCTAATACAAGTATTATCCATTTTCTAAGGTAAATTTTAATTTTCTTTATTTAAAAAATAATGTCTGGAATTGACATCCATGGATACGTAATGTAAATTAACAAAGGATTAAGTAAGCCATTTAAATTCCCAGTTAGTATTAAATTCAGGCTAGCAGTAGATTTAATCTGTTTTAGTGACCTATCTTGTATAGGTTTTTTATTTCTCTTACTGGTTTTGTGAAGTCAGTGAGGTTCATCTATAGAATTAAGTGATGTCCCTTGAGCAAATATAAGGGACAATATAGGAAATTTTACAGTTCTTCTGTATTGTGAACTGAAATGGTTAAGCTTTTTACATAAGAGAATTGTATACCCTCTGGAGGATCTTTCAGAAAGAGTAAGGTTATGTCAGAACCTGACTAAAGTGATCTTAGGCATAGGAAACACATTATTTGCTTTTTGTTCCTACTTCCTAACACAGTTGGCACATGGTTATTAAATATGGGATAAATGGGAAATGTCAGGTAAAGACTTCGGTCAGATGACTTGCAAAAAAAGAAAAAAGAAAAAAAGCCGTGATAACCTCAGCCTTCACAAAACAAGTAACTTTCCATTCGTTTTTATTGTGTACCCCTGCACAGAGTCTTGCCCTGGAAGTTTCTAGTTCTAAAACGCCTGCCTGCCTTCTTTCCTTCCAGTCAGGAGACCGTTTATTAGGGTCTGGCAGTGTGACAGGCACGGCATGATAGGCCAAATGACGGTGCAGCACATAGAACGTACACGTGTGTGACTGAGGCGCAGCGGGAATTTCCTTAGGCGGCAGTAAGTTAGACCCTCGAATGCTTCTCAGGCCTCTCCCCCAAGGTAATAGTGTCGCAGGTAGCGAGCCCCTGATTAGGGACTCCTCATACCTGGGCAAACATATCAAACTGCGTGATCTTGCTGACCCCTGTTAAACCCCGGGCACCCTCGGTAAGAAGCCAGTGGGCTGTGGGAGCTGTGACCCCGCCCCCGCCATCACCACCTTTCGCGCCTTCACACGCCCTGCGCACTCTCGTGTGCTGGGTTGGTAGAAAGCAGCCGTAATGAAGTCTGTTATGTCCTCCGTTAATCCGCTGATCCGGGTCTCGTGAGGTCTGCCCTAGTGAGGTGGGCACAGGGAGGAGGAGTAAGGGTGCCTCCTGCCCGTCTCGTCGCCTCCCCGCCTCTCCTGGTGTCACTCTAGTCGGGGCCACGAAAGGTGTCCTTCTTAGGCCTCGTCGTGCCCCCTTCCTGGAAAGCCAGTGGCTTGTTATCCAGCAAGTTCTTGCTTAGGTCTTCCTGCATGTTCATTCACATCTGTTGTCAAAAGGAGGAATTTGATTCTTGCGGGTCCAGGTCCCCCAAGGATGTCATACAAGAAGCAAGATATTATAAAACCGGAACCTCTCATGTTTGTGATCAGCAGTTGCAGGCTAGCAGTTTTATTTTCTTTAAACGGAATTGTGTAAACAACCTTTTATCATTATAGAAACAGTGCATATGCACTGGAAGAAGTCAGTAAATTCAAACCGGCAAAAAGCAAAGCATCCCCATCCACCGCCTACGATTTACACCTTGGTCTTGTTTCACTTTCTCTGTGAACATGAGTGTCCATCTGCGTATCCATGAGACATAGGTAGTCACAGATACTGTTTGTAACCTTTAAAAAGTTGATCCTTTTCATTGAATTTTTATCTCACATAATATCCAGGCCAATTTTAATTTTCCGAACTGACCCAAGAATGTACTGACCAGATTTGCTTATAAAACTAGTGTCCAGTCTAGGACCAAGCCAACTACATCTGGTTATGTTCAAACTGTCCCTGTAGTTCTTTTTTTCAGCACTGTTCCTGCTTTAAAAAAAAAAAATCCTGACTTAGCCAGTTGACCTATAAAGTCCCTATCTTCTGGGTTTGCCTGGCTGTTCCCTCTTTGTGTTAGGTGTTCCCCTGTCCTCTGCACTTCTTATAAATTGGAGCTTGCACCTAAAGGCTTGAAGGATTCAGATCACACACTCGAGGTGAGACTCTGTCATAGGCAATCTTGTATCTTCATGCTGCACCACATCAGAAGACATAACGTCAGGTCAGCCCACCGTTATTGATCAGAAAGACCTGGTGTCAGGATGATCACAGTCTTGTACCTCCATTGTCTAGTTATATTTTCTCCATGTGACCATAAGGCAATCTGTCTGGTATTAATTTAATGCTGCTAACCATTCACCTACTGGTTTACCGCCAGTTGATGATCTGTGTCTGCCTGAATCAATAATGTGATTTCTTCCACATTCACTGAGCTGGCTTTCTTCTGTAAAGTAGCACTTTCTTCCATCAACTGATGCTACTTAGCTACTTTGAAAAAGTTTCTATTGGAATTCAGTATAAATGTTTAATTTTTTTCCCTTTAATTGGCAGTTTTCAAAGTAAGAAGTTGTTCTAATAGC